GCCTGGTCTTCTCCAAAGTTTAAAAGGTTATTTACACAAGTTTCACATTGAATTGTTTGATGATACGAGTTTGCCGATTTGTTTCATATGGGTTATGAAGCTTGGCAAAATTTGATTTTTTGGAACTTAGGGACATGCTGTTGGTAACATGATTAGTGGAGGTGGTGGCAGCTCTAGGGCCGATGAACCACCTGCACCTGCAGGTACTGCTGCTGCTCCAGCAAATGTTACAAACGCTCAACCTCTAACAACGCCTTGCGAGTTTGAATGGAAGCAGTTTGTAGAATGGTCAGTTTTCTCCTGTGGTTATTTCTATTGTTGTTTTTTTTTTTTTTTACTGTAAAGAATATCTTAGAGTTTTTGGCTGTTTGAATTCTGTCACATTTAATGTTTCATTATGTATTACTGTTTTTCAGTTCGCAGACTCAATCAGATATCAGCTTGTGCCAGAGTTTGAGTGAAGCATTTAAACAGTGCCAGGCCCGTTACACCTGATCTTAAGTTGTGGAAGCTTTGGAAATTGCTACCAAACAAGTTCTATGACTTGACTACTTGTTCTTTATGTGTAGCTGTTACTTAGAATGCAGTATTAGTTATGCTAGATTGGGTTCTATATCTGAGTAACTTATGCAAAGATCGTGTTACTCCGAATATGAAACTCGGGATGAATAAATGATTCTGCTTCATGTTTTTTCAGGGTGTTGATTTTGACTGCTCCTGTTTTTTTCACAGAAGGCGAAAACAAATAAAAAGATCATAAGATAAAATTTACTATTTTTTACGGGTTTGTTTCAGTGTTTGCTTCTTTCGGAAAGAACTTATCTGGCAAAGAAGTAAAACTTATATTGAAGCTTGTTTTCTTTTGTGAATTAATTCTACAATTACAGAGGCGTGACAGCATTTTAGAGTGCACAGTTTTTAGTGTAGCTTATACTGCTAACGGCAAGTCATGGAATTTATTTGGTGAGAAATGCAGTTCACGTTTATATTGTTTTACTGAAAAACGTTCAAGGAGGCTATCGTCTGTAATGATGTAAGAGGATGTAGAGGTTGTAGGAGGTGTAAGTGTGCATTGGGTTCTACCGTGAGGTTTTCGTCGGTGTTCGTTTAAAAGGATTTCCATGTTGAGTGTGTTCCGTGGTTGCATTTTTTTCGTTCATTATGGTGTCCTGTTTGACCAGTATGTGGTTCAGCTTCAGATAGTTGCCGGCGTGAAATGACATCAATTGGCTTTATTGGACTCGGAAATATGGGGTTTTATATGGCTAGAAATTTGCTAGGTTGTCGTCGGAAAGTACTGGCGTTCGACTCTGATTCTCCGGCACTGGGAAACATAAAGGTCAGTATTAAACCCGGACTGCTAGTCATCGTACGGTGCTGTACCAGCTATTTTGTTCGTTTTGTTTCAACTGCATAAAGCGTTTGAAAACTGCTTGAGCTTTAGGCGTGGATTTTGTATGGTTTTTCCGGATTTGTAAAACTACTGCGAAGTTCCCATGTTGGTTTATGCTGAATTCGTATTACATGCTGGTTTATCTCCTACAGATCTTGTAGTTCTTGATATCCTTTTTTCTGCTGAGTGTTGAGGCAAATGTAGTGTTTTTTATTGTTGCTTATTGGTGCTTATGCATAATAAGTAAATATTAAAACTGGTAAGTCTCAAGCAAATTCTTCATAGAGATAACTTTCTCTAATTTTTAATTGTATTTGCTGCTTGTCAAAAACCAGCTAAATTTTAAAATTCAGAAAAACCATTAGTATATAATATGAAATGAAATTTGGAGTTGCAAAAGCGACTTAGTTTTGGAAAATGCATGTTTATTTGGGAAAATGCATTGTACAGTAATACTGCTTTTTCAAATTTTGGTGAATTTTGTATTGTTTCCTTTGTCTGGGCCTCAGAATGTAAGTTTTCTGTGTGTTTTGTACTAGTCTTCGCTCTTGAGATGATTAGTGTTGCCGTTTCGGCTTCGTCATAATTTGTTTTCAGTTTCTTTTTCGACTTGTTATCGTGGCATGCATTTGTTCCCTCTTCACCGTTAATTTGTTTCTGCGTTGGTACTAAACGTTTACCGGGATGTTTCCAGAAGTTAGGTGCAGATGTCGCAAAAAGTCCTGCTGACGTTGCTGCCGCGTGTCCTGAAATAGTATTGATGCTTCCTTCGAAGGATGAAGTGGACGATGTGTTTAGTCGGGATGATGGAATTTTGAGGTAAGCTACCTTGACTTTTGCGGATTTTTTTGTGAGTCCTAGCTTTTTTGTTGTTTCATTTTTCATATATGTGATCAAGGCAAATTGTCTTTTAAAAGTATTTTTATCAGAAGTCTTTAGCACGATAAAAGCGGGAACCCTTTGTATTGACTGTTCGACAGTTGACTATGGTTTCACAAAGTCTCTGTCAGAAAGAATCGAGGCAAAAACTGCACACTACGTTGATGCACCTGCGAGTGGTGGAGTTTTGGCAGCTAAACGCGCTTCTCTGACTTTCATGATTGGAGGAGATCACCTGTCGTACCATCGGGCTAAAGCCTTACTGGTATTGTTGGGTCGTCACATTGTTCACTGCGGTCCGGTAAATCTAGTTTTGGGTTGTACAGCATTTTCTTTTCGCGATTACTCTGATCAAGCTTTAAATGAATGCTTTGTTTTTGATAAACGTTTTTAATATTTTATACACTAGTCTAGTAATTTTTGTTCATTTGAACTAAATATTTGTTTTGAAATAAGTGGATGTTGAGATAATATAGTGCTCTGCTTCAAAAGAGTTAACTAGACAATAATATCAGTTCTTGATTTGGAAAAATAAGTTCGAAAGTCTCTGTATAGAAGATTTTTTAGCTGTATTAGAAGGATTGTGATCTTACTTCTATAAAACTAATTTGCTGTTGCAAAAATATTGCTCTCAGTTAGTAAAAAGGGTATTGATTTTTTCCTGTAGGTTCTCCGTTTGCTGTTTAAGTTATGCAGCAAGAAGTTAGGTGACAGTATTCTAGCTAGTGTTACAGATAAACTACTTTTCTATTTTAAATTTGTGACGTTTAAAATGTACATAAAGTTTAGGTCGGCAGCGGACAAGCAGCCACAATGTGTAATCGTTTACTTTTCTGTGCGCAGATGATTGGGTTGTCAGAGGTTCTAAATTTAGCGGAGAAGTCAGTTAAAAACTATTCCGTTCTTTAAGTTTTAAACTTGTTTCTTCGGTTTTAAAACACAAGCAATGTAGGCGAATGTAGCGAGGTGGTGAAGAACTTTAAAAAACAGAAATTTGAAATTTCAGTCTATTTTTTATTGAATTTATGAGACCAAGCAATACGGCACTAGAATTAAAAGATTTTGTCATTTACATGTAGGTTTCTTCTTTGATCTAGGGTTTTATTTTCTGATTTTTTTGCTTAGGTTGGGGATCTCACCTGACTTAATGACATCAGTTATCAACTTAAGTTCGGGAAGGTGCTTTGCATCAGAAAACTACAATCCAGTTCCTGGTTTGAATGAAGATGTACCTGCATCTCGAGGTTATACGAAAGGCCTTAAGTGTCATCATGCTGCTAAAGTAGGTGCTTTTTGTTGTTGGAGTGCGAACTTTTTTTAAGCATTATGTCAAAATATTATGACGAATTTTGATCTTTACTCTCTATTTTCTTCCCCAAAATCTTCCCCAAAAGCTATGCATTTTATAGAAGTAATGAACTTTTACAGGTTAATTTGCATGTTTGGGTTGTTCTATATATCGTCTGTAGCACTTCGTTCTATATTTTTCAGTCTTTTCTCTATTAAATTAAATTGATTTGACTTTGTGGAACTTTTTAAGAAGTTTCTTTTAGCATCTTCAATTAGCTCAGTACGCTGCGATGAAAACAGGGACTGCAATTCCGCTAACATCGTTGGCGAGTCAGATTTATCGTTTGTTGGGGAATTCTTCAAAATACAGAGATTTGGATGTTAGCGCTGTGATCAAGTTTCTAAAGGGCGAGGAATAGACCTTCTTGAGAGGTGCTTTTCTTTGATATAATCTTGATAAAATGAACTTGCTTTCAAGTCAAAATCGATAATGGTTCATTGTAACAGTGAAGAGTTTATAAAAGTATTGTAAGAAGAATGTTATTGTTTTTATTGTTTATGATTTAGTAATTGTAGCAGAAGTGATCTTGACTGTTTGGTAATTTTTTGTTGGTAATTGTGAATAAAGCTAACTTTCCTAAGGTGTATAACAGATTTCGGCGATTAAGGTTTTGCCTTGCTTTGCCTCAGTAGGCAGCGACATAATAAAGATAGTTTGTTACAGTGTTAATGTAAGTTTGTTAGTTGTAACAGTTTTCTTGTAAGCCTTAGGTGCCTTTTCTATATGACAGGGTTCGATCAGTCCGCTTCGCTTGAAGGCTTTGCACCCAAATACTTTCATCATTTATTGACCAATACATTTTAATTAGCGTTAGAAGAAGCTTGGTGCTATTATGTATTTGTTTTTCTTCATTATCAATGCTGCTTGACAGTTATTAACCACCTTTCAGAAGTCCGGTTGAAGGCCGACATTGTCGAATGCCTAAGGAATTTATTTTTATTTTAGTGGTTGAGGGAAACAGCCTGTTGAATTTGGGGTCCTATGTTATTGAAGCTTCATTTTCTTCGCAGTGCGTTTCACATGTGATAGTGTGTGGTTCCGACCAAAAAGGGTGATTTTGAAGCAGTTTTTCATCAACTCGCATTTGCAGCAGGTTTACAGGACATTTTTTAGTTTTGTTCTAGTGAGGCTGCGAGAAGGTTCTGTCTGTTCGAGTTTGCTAACCATGCATGAAGGGCAAAGTGGTTTTTGAGGGGTTGCTATATAATAAACCTATTGATGTTTGGATTTTTGTGAAAATTTGGAAGGAGTTTTGTTTACCCATGTTGTTGATGAAGGAAAGGTAAGGCAGCAATAATTTACCAGATCGCTAGCAAAAAACGTCTCCCGGCTAATTATTTGTTGATTGTTGTATACGAGGTGGTATGCCCTGAAGTTTCTTTGAAGGATAGACTCCTACATTACCTAATATTTCATAAAGAAAAATTGATTGTTTAACGGTAACAAATTCCTTTTTTGGTTAGAAAAGGTAGTATTGAGTGTTTCTATTGTTTACTGTGCTTTGCTAACCAACAATTAGTCTTTGATTAGTAGCGTCATCTGTTGTTACGTTGGTTAATGTATGCCAAGCAAAATTTCAGAATACAGTGTTTGACCAGGTAGGGTTTAGTGGCACTTTTTTAGCAGTTTTTGGGGAACATTTTTGGGAAGGTGTAAATTTTGATGAGAACTGTTGTGATGGTTACTGTTTTGAGTTTTAAATTTGCGTAGTTTTTCAAGAATTATACGTGAGGTAGTATTTCATGTTGTTTTTTTTTTCTAATTAACAGTTGGTCATTGGTTTTGGGAGCATAAGTAATTCGTAATTAATGTAAAATATTCCCCAACAATTCTACTTAGGTAGGCAGTTGAGGAGTCACATTTATTCAAGTTTGCTTGACTTTAATTATGAATTGAGTAATATCATTGGAAAAATCATTCACTGTTCAATGCATTTCTTCTCATAATTTTAGCGCTTAGTCTGGTTGTTTTAAATGTTTGCGTTGTTTGCATACTATGACATTGAATATCGATGAAAAAAAAAAGATCTTTTACGTTATTACTGTTAAATGGACTGCTGCTTGGCATTGCATAAGCTTATTTTGAATTTAGTGAAAATAATACTCTTTGAAAACAGCCGAGTAAGGTATCGAATTGTGTGAATTTACTTTTAACCATTTCTACGTTGAAATATAATCTCGATAATCTTTTTTGGTTGGAGACTGTGATGTACACTGATATTGGAAGCCTATTTAGCGGAATCTTTTTGTTTTATTACATGCCAGATTATTTCAGTTTAGGAAAGAACTTGAAAGCTATGCTTTTTCATATTTAATGACATTGATACAGGGGAGTAATTGCTGAGATCTTAGAACAGTATTGCCATAGTTGCTAACCAGATATAATTGGATGGAGTTTACACTTATTACAGTACCTTGCAGTTACTATAATTCCTTGGTAACTGTTTTGGACGTTGGCTGCATGAGGTCTTATATCCCATAGAAGGTTTTCTGCAGATCCCGAAGGAATGTTGTGTTGCTGTGGATTAGTGAACCTTTCACTTAAAGTGTGGGAAGTGAATGTAAAATTGATTTATGTTAGTTCCGGAACTTCACCTTGAAAATGAACAGATACCGGCGGAGTGATTTTTCTTTTCGCTCATACAAACTGTCTTAACAATTTCTTCATTATTACTTAAACATTGTGGTTCTCTTTGACTGCTTTATAATCTTTTTTGTCAAAGTGTCTTACACTAACGCAAATATATTTTGTTGCCGTGAACAAGTAAAAGTAAACAAGTTTTTGATCGCTAGCATTCATTAAATCAATTATTTGTTGACTTCATATTGCCTTCTTTTTAGAGATGAATTCATATCCCTGTCGCTTGTTGTCTCAATGCGAATATTTTGTTATAAAACTTGTCTTCCATATCGATTAATTGGTACAAAGCTGGTATCCTGTTGTTGTGAGCAATAATTGTTGCAAACTTTGCAGATTTAACAACGGAAGTTAGAATAAGAGCATGTTTTAGCTGCCTTTCGATAAAAACAGATACGAAAAGAAACTGCTAGTACTTGCAGCTATAGTGAAAATCAGACTTTTATAATTGAACAACAGAGATTTAAGTCATTTTATAACTAGCACATTTACAAGTCTTTGTCGTCTAAGAGGGTTTTATTGTGTTTTGTGATTGTGAAGAAGCCATTTTTTGTTGGTTTTTTTATACGGCTCAGCAGTCGGCAAACCTTTTTTGATCATTCAGTGGTTTGAGACTTGAAGAGTTGCTGTCGCTTAACCATTTAATCTGTCTTAATGAAAAAAATTTGTAGTTGGAGGTAAATGTTACGATAATGTCTGTCATTACGGTATTTTCTTTTAAAAAGAATATCGATAAATGCGTTAGGTGTTTTTTCTTTGTTTTGCTTTTCATCTGAAATTTTCTATTAGCTTATGAGTTATATTTGCGAACAGTAGAATTCAAGTTTTAAATTATTTACAATTGCTTATCCATTGCTCCATAGTTATTCTTTTAAGTTCCAAATAGCTGGCTGTTGATTTGTTTAATGCATTTTTAAGTATAACTTTCTGGTATTTGTCTCTTTAAGCAATATTTGATAGCACCTGTTACGGTAAGCATCGTAAAATGGGCGTTCTTTTAGCTAATTTTTGATGAATAGCATTGTTATAGGTTTCTAATTAAGTGAAGCGGTGTATCAGTGTATAAGTACAAGTACTTGGCTTTTGTTCGCATCTTCAGCAATTCATTTCTGATATTGATTTATCATTTAGCAGTCATCAGTAATGCCTCGCTTGATTCATTATTCATTGAAGGTATCAGATCGCCAGGAGGCTCGTAATTTCTTTGTCGACACTTTGGGAATGAGGGTATTAGATTAGAATATCCTTTAAAAAAATATTTTGATTTATTATATAATTTTTGTTTATTGGTTTAAGAAATTTGGTCTCTTCAATCTTATAAATTTTTAAATAAAGCAGTACTATCTAATTCTTAGGTTCTTCGTCATGAAGAATTTGACGGAGGGTGCAAAGTGGAATGCAATGGGTGAGCTATTTGGTTGTTCCTTTGGCATCGTAAATACGCTTGATAATGATTTTCAACTGTATGGGTTTGCCAATCGGTCAATTCATACCGTTCAGTCCTCAGCTATAACTAAGCTTTTTAAATGAATCTGATATTTGAATCATTTGTTTCACACTCGGAGATAAGTTGAATTTAATTAGATGCAACAGCAAGGTTACGGATTATGGACAAGCTTTTTGCAGATTTTTCAGATTAGTTTTTTGTACAAGAAATTGTAGTTTTCATTTATAACGTATTTTTGAATAGTCTTCTTGGAAATTTTGAAATCAAGGTCTTTTGATAATAAATGGAGTAAAACCATGGTTGGCTACGGGAGTGAGGATGGACATTTTGTACTAGAGCTTATATACAACTATTCTGTTCCCAAATATGATCAGGGAAACGACTTTCTGGTTAGTCAGTTACTCTGTTAAATGCTTCAAAGTTGTGCATACATATTTCTGCTGCCTTTGATCGTTTTAAAAACAGTAGTCTTTAAAATAATACTTCTCTACCAATTGTTTATGCTTATTTAAAAATACACGTTCTCTTTTCGTCTAGGGTGTCTTCATTGAATCTACAGAAGTATATATTCGTTGTACAGAGAAACTACTGGGCTCAGTAGCTGCATTTGAAGATGTGTTTTACCTGCGCGTTCTCGATCCTGATGGCCATGCTTTTTACATAAAAAAAGGGATTCGAAGGCCAGAACCGATATTCAAGATTGGTTTGAACACGGAAGATTTAAACAAAACTATAGGTATGAATTACGGGCGATATTCAGAAGACACAGGTTGAAGTTCTAAACTGTTTTTGGTGCTTTCCAGCTTTTCTACTTCTCTTGTGCTGCTTTGAGCTTGGCTTGTTTGTAAACAGTTGTCACCCAAAATTTGGCAGAGTAGTGGGCAGAAGGGGTAGCCTTTCACGAGGGCTCTGTTATGTAGCATCTTTGAACAGTTGCCGAATGAGCGGTGATTATTTAAATTTTTATGGGCTTTTGCTAAAGGCGAGTATTGTTCATGAAAATCCACCTAGTGGGTGATGTTCACTTTGGTAGCACTTTTGAATCAGTAAAATTTTGCTCGAACGTCTCAGCTGTTAACCATATTAAGCAGTTCACTGTTCTTTATTATTGTTTCTAGCACTATTACTATTATCGTTATTACCTCTCATTGTTATTATTACTATCCCTACTTTTATGAATAATTTTTTAATACTGTTTGAACTTTATAGATTATGAATAACTTAAATGCTAGGGCATAAATTTACCATAAGAAAACTAATGAAAAATTTAAGATTACTGGACAAATGTACTGGGCATGAAAGAACTTTCAAAGGAGAAGCAGAAGTGTATTGTAGGTTACGAGGATAATCAGGCTAGCTATTTCTTTGAATCTTCGGGACTATTTTTTTTATAGTTATTACTGAATCACTCCTAACTTGCGTAAAGTGAAACTTTAGTAAGTTTAATGGTGTGCCGTCAGAAATTTTTTCAAATGGAAGCATAAATTTTAAAAATTTTTTTTAGTTTTTACAATATTTCAATCATTTCAATTGTGTAGAAGAAAATAGGTTTTAATAGGATAATTGCTTCTAATTATAATTTATCTTTTCTAAAACTTGATAACATATTGAGACTCCCGTTGTTAAAGAGTAATTTTACAGATCTGTTTTTTGGAACTTACAAAGTCCTATTTTTAAAAAGATATTTTGGACACCTATCACATAAGAGTAATTGAAAGGAATAGAAATAACCATTATAGATAGCAACAACATTCAAAATATTGATATTAAGTGTTTTTGCAGTGCGTTTTAGAGTGGCACCACGTAAATAAGTTGAAGCGTGGAAACGGATATGGTCGCGTAGCCTTTACAATTTCGACCCAAGAAGTAATTTTTAGTTCTTTTGTTCCTTTGCAGAACGTCTGGTTGGGCATTCTCCGCTAAATTTGTTCCATAAAAACCAAGAACTACTTTTCCAGCTGGAACCATTAGAGAAGAAGATATCAGCTCACGAAAGGAAAATACTTTTTCCACTGCAAAAGTTGGGGCAAGGAGAATTGAAAGAATCTGTTCTTATCCTTGCAGATCCTGTAAGTGAATGGCAGTATACGCAAGTGGCTAATTCCTAAATTTCATTTGAATTGCTGCTTTTGATTTTAAAACTTTTCTTCATGTTTTGATTGTTGCGTCACTGGACTATAGCTTCAGTATTTATTATTAAGAAGATAGAAAACCGCGTTGTGAAGTAATATATTTTCTTTTGCCTTAAAACTACTAGTTTCTTTGCTCAAATTCTCTCCTTTATTGTGATATATACAGTGTTCTAGTGAAATTTGTACTTATTCTGAGAAGAAATGGTGCATTTGTAGATGATTTTTGCAGAATGACCACGAAATATGCTTTGTTGGAGCAGATGAATTTTTAAAGCTATCTGAGGAGGATTTGGAAGCTGATGATAAGCTTGCTTTTGCTATTGAGAAGGAAAAAGCCAAGGTGAGTGCATTTGCAGTTGCGTAGTTCTGAAGTTTGAATCTTGGGTCTGCAAACCAAAACGTTTGAAATAAATACTTTTGTTGCCGGTCAAGTCTAGTACCTTTTAGTAAATTTTCAAGTCAACGGATTGGTAATTAAGTGTTTGATTTTCAGGCAGATAAACCTTAATTGACGCTTCTTAAGGCTGCTACACTCTGTCGGATTTTTTGCTGCTGAAAATCTCCATTTCTTTAGCTCTCTCTTCAATTTCATGATGAAATGCCATTCCAAAATGTGGTTTTGATTATATAAATACATGTTTCGCACTTTCCTGTTTCTCAGTTTAAAGCTACTTTTTAACGGATAACTTTGTTTACAGCGTTGGTAGTTGAATGGAGAAGGTTTGAAGTTTTAGCAAATTTTGTAGGTACAGTAGTTAGGCTGTTCAGCATAGCAGAAATAGTTTTTTCAAAAGAAAATATTTCCCATATTATTTCTAAGAAGGCCTTTTTAAATTTATTCGAACAGTTTTTGGTTTAACGGATAATGTAGTTGGTTCTATTCTCATGGTTTCCAATACTTTATATATAATTTTTTCATGTAAAAACTAAAATTTTTGCTCAGCGAGGTGCCAACTGCTGATTACAATTGAACTTGTTTGTTTGCAATTCAAGTTGCTTTCAAGGTTTTTTTAGCAATTTGTTAAGTTTTAAGTTAATAATTTTTTGCTGTTTATAGTTTGTTACGTATACCGTGAAGTCAAATCTGTCCTGTTTTTGATTTTGCTTCCTTTCATTTCTATTTATGAGTTCCATGAATGATATTTGGCCAATATTCATCCATGGTTGTGTGCTGTCAGCAAGTAAAGATGAAGTCATTTTTTGATGGCGTATAACTATAGCAGTAGACGTGGAGTAGAATAAGGCGTTCTCTGTTGTAATTACTGGCACGTCTGTGAAGAAGCGCAGAAAAGGAACTGGCGAGAAAGTTTGATTGTGGTAATATGTACCGGGGAAATAAAATTTAACAGTGTTGTTGTTAAAAAAAAGTAGCAGTTCCGGTCTACGGTAGCAAATTGACATCTTGGAATCTGTAGTATTGATCATTACCACTTAGTTTATAATAGAACAATATTTGGGTTAATAACTTCGATCTGGGAGTGGCCAAACAAAAAAACAGTTGCAGCCAACTGTCTTTATTTTGATTACTGGCTGAAATAGGTAAACAGGTTAACAAGTCTATTTGAAAAACGTCGTCATTTTTGTTGAAAATGAAGAAATGTAGAAGTATCTAATAATACAAATACGTTACTCTTTTGGTCGGTAACTGCAGTATTGAATAAACTGCTGTAATTTCGCATTCGTTGTTTGCCCTTATTTTGAAAGACGAGCTTAAATTCCTGTATCTTCTGGCAACTATTATTGGTTGCAAAACTAAAAGGAAGTTGCATTTTTAGCTTAGATAATTTTTTTGGTTTTCTTTGTCAGTCATTTATAGCAACAAGCAAGTAGAAGAAGAAACTAAACTAAAACTGGAACCACAAGTTTCATGAAAGTTTATGTGAAATAAAGTTTTATAATTCAAAGAAATGGTCACTGTTTTTCACTACGTAGTGCAATGTCTGTTTTTGCAAAGATCGCTCAAATAAAAAAGAAGAAAGCTGGAAAAAATACTGCTTTAATTGTAGTGGTAGACATCAGACAAATTTTTTGTTGGTGTCGGTAAAAAATAAATTTATAACAGGAGATTGACAAAAAAGAAACGACGAGTAAGATTAGTAGAATCTGGTAGATTTGTAAAGATCATTGATCTTCTAAAATTTATTTCACAATTCGCTGAAAATGCTTCGGCTTTTTTCACCGCTTCGTATCCACTACAGAAGCCAGTTCTTTTAAAGCATAAGCCCTGATAGAAAATACTAAACAACGTTCTTTTCATATTGAAAATTTGTTAGACTTCAAAGAAAAACGTGCAGCACATGGGCCACAGATCGAACTGGTAAAGTGCACGTATAATACGCACTAAAGATGACCCTCTGGTTGGGAATCAGATAAAATTTTTTCGTTCTGTATCTCACATCCAAGATGATTTAGACTCTGTACGATCCTAACTTCAGCAACAGTGACTATTCTTCCCTTTATCTTATGTAGAAAAAACTACTGAAACGTCTCAGCGGTATCTTAGCTTTGTTAGGAACAGGATTTCACCATAGAAAGAGAACCAGTTGATAGCCCTACGTCATACATACTATTATATAATAAAGCTCATATTTTCACATACTGTAGTTTTGAGATCGATAACGTTGTTGACACTGTTAATTACATTTTATATTGAAATCCTTCTAAAAGTAGTTTTCCTAAGAAAATACTGTTTTTCTAAAATTATATTAAAAATATAGCATCTTCTAGAAAACTGCTGTCAGAGGCTCTGAGAGAAAATTTTTTTTTCTTGTCATTGGATTCCAACACGTCTGGATTAAAAACGGAGATTGAACAGCGGTTCTGCAACAGTAGTCCGTAGGTACAATGAGTGGCCGACGAGAATGAGAAGCTTAGATCAGCGACAAAATTCACTCTTCATTTTCCAAAAATCATCAGCAACGCTGACGCTTGACTCTGAAGTTCAACATTTTGCATCCCAGAATTTTGGAATTAAGAATTCTCACAAAAAAGTTCGGAAGATTTTATGAGTTTTTTTTGATCAAGGAAGTTAAGATCTGTACAAAGCTGAAAAACGGCTCCGCAGGTCAGTTGTAAAGTAGTTTTTCAGGCATTTAAAGCTTAAGTAAACTGGGACAACCAAGAACTGTTCGATTATGAAACCAGTCAATTTTAGTAACTTTGGTATTCTAGTTTAATACAAAAATTGAAGTTGTAATTCACCGTTCTACTAAAATGAATTTCCCCTCTAAATGGCCTTCTTTTCAATAAAAAGTCTCAATTGTCAAATTGATTGAGTTCGTTTTTTTTTTCTGTAGTTTTACCTGTAAAGTCTCAAAAATTATATAGTAAGTATTCATCCTTTTCTTATCTTTTTTGATACACTATCATTTCCAAAAAAATGTCAGCTCGCTATTAAAGTGTTAGTTAAAACACACTTGATAATGTGCAAGAAACAGCAACTACCTCAACTAGCAATCTGATGAATTTTCAGCGTTGTCGGCACAGACCTAAGGCTATAACAATTCAAGTTTAGGTAGAAAGCAAATCAAAAATCTATAATCATGACATATATTCTGATAAGACAAAGATCAAACCCTCCCAATAGCAGTTTTCATTTATAAATCGCAATGATAAAGCTGTTCAGAGCAAAATTTACACCTAAACTTCTAAAACGAAATGCTTGTTACTGTCTATTTCTTACATAAAGTTTAGTTTCTTTTTTTTTTTAAATGTAAGACAGAGCAAAAAAAACTTCGAAATTTATTAAAATTCTTTTGAACCAGTGAAGACAGTGTCGTAACATTTCAGCTCTTAGGTCTTTTCACTTATTTGTTGTTGCTAAAAACGGTGGATGAAGTAAGGGCGTTGGTGTATACTTTTGACTGGCAATTTCGACAACATGGAATCAATCCACCAAAGTTCCGCCACGACTTCTAGCAACCGGTGAAACTGTTTTTGAATCCGGATTTTCATTTGAAAATGCAAAAATGCTTCATTAAGAAGAAGAAAGGACAAGAAACATGTTTGTTCAACTGGCGAACGATAGTGTAATGTCGGTTTGATGATAAATTTCGACGTCAAACAACAGCGAACTGGTAGTTAAGGAAAGGGAAAAAGATGCAGGTACGTAAAGGTTGATGCAGATGAACCAAGAGAATAGCTTTGTTCAATCGAATCTTTTTGCAGCATATGAAAACAGCGATCAGAACCGGTGTAAATTTTTGATACTTTTCTCGCATAAAGGATTATCACTGAAAGTTTATTCAGTGGCTTCTGTCTTTTACACAGCTGAGTAGTAGTTTGATAATAGTGCCGCTAAGAGTGCACCAGAATTGTCAGTCTCAAATTCTATTTGATTCTCTTCAGCTGTTCCACCTCGTGACTTCTATTATTCATATCAAGCTATTTCAGCTACTACAAGCATATCAGTTTACAGACACATTTATTTATAAAAAGATGCTGAAAAAAAAAAAAGACTAAAAAAGGTTTTTAAAACTGACGTAGGGGAAGTATGAAAAACGGAATAGCGAGCAGACGAACGTTGTTGCATAGTTTTTGGTTGAAAAAAGAAAGCAGTCATCAAATACTAAAACAGATGATTTTATAAAGGTACAGATGACAAAAACAGAGGACCTAATAATTTGTTTTAAAAATTTTAAGGAAAAAAAAAAAA